AGGGAACAGCATATTAGGCATGGTCGTGATAAACACTGGCTTATAAGAACAGTCCCAAATTGCTAGAGTAAGAGAAAGTATGAGTGAGAAAAAATGAAGCATTTTATAAGCAAGAATATTCCCTGATGGTCCTTTGTTTCCTGAGAGATGGCAAGAATACTTATATTATGAATGTTAAAATACAGCTATTGGACGTTTTAAGGATATCCTACAGAAATAAAGGATATTAGCTTAGAACTGAGTATTGAAGCATCAAAAAAAAAAACTTTTTAGTCACCTGCTGCTTTAAATGTTTCACTGCCCTAGAGAGACAGGATTCTTTTAGCTGATATGTGTAAGGTAATAACAAATGTAGCTGTTTAGAAGACAAGGATATTGAGACAAATATCCTCCAAAGCCATCAAGAGAACAGTAAAGATGCCCAAGACAGTCAGACGCAGTAGGCTGGAGTCTCTGCTGATTTACAGCTTATGTCATCGTTAGCTCCTCTGCAAAGTGAGGACAAAGATGCTTAAATGCTGCCAAATGAAAAACGCAGGTATTAGTAACTTATGCTGGATCAAAATCCTCAGGCAGGGAATGTTTGCCAGTGCTGGGGGGGCCTCCCTGCCTATACCATATGCTATGAGCAGTCCGTATTGAAACCTAGAGCTGTTTATGGGCCTGCCAGGGCTTTTTAGGTGCAGTGTTGTCTCATCTATGGCTGTTTTTAATGCCAAGGCTATTTCCCAATATGTTCAGAAATTTAAATATTTTGTGTACCTGTCATGTCATATGTGACTAAGTAACCACAGGGAAAAGACTCCTGGTTGTTAGGGGGATTGTAATGAAGTGGCAATAGTGCACTCCAGAACATAAGAGCAAGTATAAAAATCTGGAAATATGTCATCTTCTGCAAAATAACAGCCCGGACCACATTTGCCTGATAAGTAGAAACTGTCCATGTATCTATTGATGTGGCTTAAACGATGCATAATGAGATAAATATTTCATTGCCAATTTGATGCTGTTTATCTAAGTGACACAGTCCCTATTAGCTCTGCAAAGCACAGAACAGTAAGAAACTAAAAATGGAATTTGTAGGCGCTGCAAGTTCACCCATCTCAGGGATGCTGTGCAATGTGTCCGTCTGCTATTTCTTGATTATTTTTATAATGCGTATATCTAATTAAAAAATCAGGATGGGCTCTGTGAGTAAGGGCTACATAAAGTCCAGGCTAAAAAATGAACTATGCAGCCACAGAAATGAGCTGTGAATAACAGAAGCTGCATCTCTCCTGAGTAATCACACGTTCAGAAACTACCATGCGTAGTTCAGTGCTCAATATCATGTAACAGGATTGACACAGTAGAACTAGAGTTTGTCAGGTAGCATTATTAAATCCATAGAAACTCATTGATGGGAAGCCTTTTGAGATGTTAGTCCTTTCCATCTGAGGTATGATCACTGTATTTCTAGACTGTCTCCCAGATATTTATTTCTTAGTCTTCTATTTCAAATATTTTAGCATCTACTTAAGCAGTCTGTGTTAGTGCTCATTATTCTTAAGGTTTAAAAAGGGTGCAATTACATTTGCGTGTTTTCTTTTTACCTCCCTATATCTTGATGCAAATCAGACTGCACCTCACAGAAATTTTCTACACAGCTACTGAGCCTCTTGTTATTGTGCATTTTGAGTATTTCCTTTTCACTCCCTTTTACTGAAGAACTGCAAAAGCATTGTGGGGATGGGGCATTATATTGTGAGCAAAAGGTTCACACAGAGGAAAGGATAGTTCTTGTACTGGATGTGTCTGAGCAGTGACCATTAGCTTAATTTTAATGGTACAGTAAGGCTTAAATCCATCAGTTTATGTGAATGTGAGATCAATTGGATTATTTTATATAACTCAGATAACATTATGACTTATTATGCATTTTCTTCCAAACACTGTGAACCAAACCACTGCTGTTTACATAGCATGGGTTATTCAAAAAAGAAAAAATGCTTGTGTTTCTGTATGCCTGGATATTTATCTTTGGTTAGTACTGTGTAGTTGTTTTAAGGAAATGTCCATATTTCTGCAAGTGGGGAGTTGCTGGTACCTTTTCCTGCCAGCCCCAGCTATTGTGGACACTGGATTTCATTAGCTAAATCATGTCTTTCTCTTTGCGTGTCTGTGACTATCAAAGCAAATTAAGTTCAGTGAGGAGAGTAACAAGATAACGATTCAGGGTGACTCCCTTCAGATAAGAGAAGGGGGACAGCTTGTAAGAGTCCAGCTGCTTTTTGCTGCTGCTACCAGGATTTTCTAGCAGCTCAGGGATACAAGTGCAACATCTGGTGCTCTCTTACATCTTCCAGCTGTGCTGTCCAACATCTGCTGGGGGCTGCACAGGAAGAGCTGCAGATACTGCAACCACTTCAGCAAGTCTGTGAGCTCGTAGGAACGTTTTTCACGAATGGTCCTTGCCCTTCTCTGCCCCTGGGAGACACGCAGCCAGAACCACGTGTTTGGTCTGAAATGCAGTAAGTGTGGATGTGCAAAGCTGCCTCCAGGTTAAGTGCCATAACTCTACTCTCTTGGCCAGGTGGGCATCAAACGCTTCAGGCTGTATATACGTTGCAAATAAATGTAAGAGCTTGTTGCAAATAAATGTAAGATCTGGGAATGGTTTTTCCCAAACCTTTTCTTTTGGAAAAACTCTTAAAAATGTGTGTGTGTAGGAGAGTGAACGCAGGCAGTGAATGGGGCTGGCTGAGGAATACTGGACTTGGTGCTGTTGCCCGCACACCTAACTAACCACTGAACACTGTCCAGGCCCTTCCAGCTCTCTCACAGTTTTTATACGAGATTCACTAGAAGTTCTATTTTGTTGTTTCACCTTTGATTACTTAGATAATACACATGAATCAAAATCAAAGGAAATTTTCATGCCTATCTGTGGTCATAAAAACAAATGGAGCAAGGAAGATCAAAAATAGCATAACCCCAGAGAAGAAGTGTCCAAGCAGGACTTTTTTTTTCAAGTCTTTTTTACCCAGAATATCTTTGAAAGCAGCTCAAGAAGACTGTGTGTCCTTCAGGAGCATTTCTTCTTAGGAGTCTAGTGATAACTAGAGTGATGCTTTGCTGCTTTAAAGTGCATGCTACCTGCTAATTACTTATTTTTGTTTAAGCAAATTAAAAAGGCTGATGTGTGTTGTCATATTAAAACAACTGACACAACGTTATAGTAGTACTCTAGAATAGTACAAGTTTGAGTGGTTAGCCTTGAAAAAAGTGCTTCTCTCTGAATGGGAATGTGTCTTTTCTCCTTTCTTTATCTTTTATTTTTAGTTTATTTCTCTATAAGAGCTCTGTTTGCATTAGCAGATTATTAGGAACTGCTTTTGATTTACCCGTGCAAGATGTGCTAGAACAGTGGATCTGAAGCTTGTAGCATGTTAAGATTTTATTGCTTTCTATCTCTGCCAAAAGCAATTTATTTGAGAATGGTTCAAGTAGAAAAAGAAAGAAACAGAGCAAACAGAAGCAGCTCGAATGAAGCCTAAAGTGAGGCAGGGCTCAGCCTGAGCAGGACGGGCCTGCGCTCGGCCGCCCTGCTGGCCCTTGTGCCCTGCCTGCTGCGGGGCAGTCTCGGGGGAGATGCACGATGCACTCTGCTTATATTTTTGTTTTGAGGGCAATTCCACTGTGTTCCAGGTAATGGTAGTTATTAGTGGCAATGGCTCCTCTCTTGGCCTCTTTTGCACCTTTCCTTTTTTACCCTTGGGAAAAATGTGAAAGGTCAAATGCGGTCTCGACCAGCTGACCCTGCTGGAGTGGCTGAAGGTGCCATAAGGCAAATGTGGCTACAGCTGGGAGGCCTCAGTCCGTTTTCACCCTGCTCATAAGACTAAACATGTCATCAGGGCTTAATATCCAGTGATTCACAAGCTGGATGTTGAATTAATTCTCATCTTTTTCTTTGCACTCGGGTGTAATGCACAGCAGGCTGCCCTCCGCTCTAGGAGATCTCGCTCTCCTTTTGAATATAACAGCACTGCTGACCTTTGAGAAATAATTGTGTTATTTCTTCTAATGGATGGGGATATTTCTGAAGTCAGAATAAGCATAAAGGTCTTTGAATTTAAATCAATATATTTGCCAGAACAATAACATTGAGGTAAAAATCAAAAGCAACCTGAAAAGAAAAATTGCTTTCATTTCACTTTTCTTTTTCAAAGTAAGAAATCAAAGACAAGAGATATCATGCACATACAAAAATATTAATATGCAATTCTTCTCATATCCACTGATTTCCTTTCTACCAACAAATACAACAATATATATGTCTAGGAGAATTTATTTTCCTGCTTAGTTAGTAGTATTTAAATTGCCATTTTTATTAAAACCTGAGTCCTTTCTCATTTATCATTTTAAATTCCATTACTTGTTTCCAAGGAGATAGAAATATGCAGGAGAATCATCTGAGACTCTGGTTTGCAAGGCTGCTCGTTTTAATGAGAGCTGAATGTGCCCTGTCTTTAGGAACGAAATACCCTTGGAGCTGCTGTAGTGAAGAGGTTGAGACTTTGAATTTCATTTCTGCCCAGACCAACATTTTGCTTTTGGGAAATGGATTGGCAAGGTCTTAAAAGCAGTATCTGCTTGTCCCTGTTTCCTTAGTGGCTTATCTTTGCCGAGGCAGGTTTTGTGGTATGGTCTAACCTCCCCACCCCTTGCCAGTATTTGCTTTCTCATGGTAGTTCTAGAAATTTCTTTCCTTTAAAATGTAACCTTGGAGAACCCAAGAATAGACAGTAAACTACAAGTCATTTTTCTTCCTGTGAGGAGTTCTTCATAAATACTGAAGCCTGGATAGTGTCATAGATGTTAACGCCATAGCCTATATGTGTTCTGTCACGTGTCAACAGTGAGTTTCAGACATCAGGTTTCTTTTGTTGTTGTTGTTTTGTTCCTTTCTTTAATAAGATCCTAGAATAATTTGAAGGTAGAACGAAAAGTTGTCTTACCTGAAGTAGTCTTCACCACCTCAGTTGTATTTCTTAATCCCGTAAAGGAAAACTGGTAAAGCCTCCAGGACCTGGTGTCTCCCACCTCCACTGAGCTGCGCTTCCATTGGTAAATGATCTCTTCTCTTGGGTAACCATCTTATTGCAAGGGAAAATACAAAATGCTTTGCTTCATAGTCATGGCTAGCATCTTATTGTACTTTTTGGGGAGGAAAAACTACTATATTCTATTTCTGTAGAAGCATTTCACAAGTCACATGTTATCTTCTTTTATGTAACTATTAGGTAAATTGAAATAACATCACATTTTATTTATTTTAAATTAAAATAGGACTTCAGATAAATATTAAAAAAAAAAAGACATAATGGAGTTTTGCCCAATCTTCAGTTACTGTGAAAAAGGCCTTGAGCTGGACTACGAATTCTTTCCTTGAGTTATTTGCAAGCATCAAACATCATTGACTCCAAGTATTCCTAATAGGGAAACTCCCATGTGCAAAGAGAAAGTATTAGGCCATAGGATGGTAAAAGTAAACATTTGTTCTGTTATACTAAGATATAAGTAGAAATTAATCATACATGTCCCAGAAGTAATGCCATTTTCGTAATATTCCTGTATTATGCTTGTGAATATATATGATTTGAGTACATGAAAATAAGGTCAAAATAAAATGGAAAATTATGGGACTGTTTCTGGTTAAGAATATAACCCTAGTTCACTCTGTCGATATAAATTTATAAAAAGTAACTCAGTGTGGGATAGGAAAGTGATTAAATACATTTCCAGGTGCATTACTTACAGCTTGAAAATTCCAGTGGGCAGGAATGAGCATCCATGGGGAAGTTGTGTAGCTGCAGCTGACATTCAGCATCGATTGTCAGCCTAAGGAGAGAGAGCAGAATATACAAAACATACTGAAGAAATCTGTTCTTTCCAAACAAGATTATTAGTAATATTAAACAAGGTTGTGAAATATGCAAATGCATACCATGAACAAAAGCATCAACATGTATTTATTATTTTGGCTTTTCCAAACATATTCCAGGACATCTGGTTATTGATAGGCAGTGCAGTGTTTCTTTTTTAGTTACAAAGGCTTAGAAGACTGTACTAGAATATGTATTAAAGTTTTGTTCCTTTGCATCTGAAATGGCAGCATTACTCATAACTAGCAAATCCGTAAGTGAATATGCAGGTCATCTCATACAAGCAGTGACAAATCTCTATGTCACAACATGCCATAATGTACTATGGAGATGTATTTTGCATGAAAAAAGATCTGTTTCAGAAATGACAGATGTGAGTCCTCTGTCCAAATTTAGACATCTACATCCAAGACAGTCATCTAGACTACCTAGGAAAAAGGCACTCTGAGGATATGCTTCATTTCATTCCACAATATACATCTGAACTAAGTTAGAAAAATGTGCTAGAAATGTGTGTTTCTCCCCAAAGAATACTAGATGAGTCTGTGTGGAAAGTCAGGTCATATGGGGGGATATAGGTATCTTTCAGGTAGAGACATGTACTTTAGGAAAATCAAAATTAGATGAGATGTATCTACTTATGTAGCTACTAAAACTCTACCATTTTCCATTCAGTACCCTCATTGTTTCTAGCCTCTACATGCCCTAGGCTTGTCATGAACCACATGATAGATGGACTGGTAGCAAATAATCCATGAGAAGAAACAGCTTTGGAAAGGAGGGCAGAGATGGATGAGAAAAGGAAGGAAGGGTGTGTGGCGAGGAAGGAGAGCAGAGTGCGATTTATGTTTCTTGATTTTCCACAAAGAAATATATATTTTGATTCTTTGTTCACTCCTTGGTGTTCAAATGAGCACCTTCATGGTTCCTGGCTGTTACACGTAGGTGCTTCATGCAGGTATCTCCCTGTGTCTCATGCACAGGATGTAGAGGGCTCTTGTGGCTGTTAGTCGCCAAGTCGATGAAGTCAAAAGGAAACTTCTGTGCATTAGAGATCTCATTTTCACTGAAACTAATGGAAGTCTTGTCTCTGACACAAATGTAGAATTAACTCTTTGTTCTAAGAATATTATCTTTTCTTCTCATCTCATTTCCACCGTCTTCAGATTTACCTCAAGATAATCGTAACACAGATCAAAAAAAAAAAAATCAAGTCTTCCTCTTCCTGTAGTATTTTTTCTCTTGTGAATATATCTAATATAATTTGAATCTGGGGTAGGTTCAGATTTACTGCTGTTTTTATTTGTTTTCTCTTGTGGAAATGACACTTGATTTCATTCATGAGCAGAAAGCCAGTTTTCATAGAATCACTAAATAGCAGCAATGCTGATATTGTTGGCTAGGTTATCTGGAGATCCAGGGGCCCAACTGCTCTGCTCAAGGCAAGATCAACTACAGCAGATTGCCCAGGTCTCTTGTTAATCCATGTGCATCTCCTGCCACCTCTTCTTGATTTCTTGTTGTCCAGAGCAGGCTGTATTTGGAGGAGGTCATCCTTGAAAATCAGACATCTCTTTGGGCAGATATCACATGCAATTCTTCCAAGTAGACCTCTGAAGAGGCCAGAATCTGCTCTCCTTTAGCTCAGGATTGTGATCCTGCTATTTTTTTTTTTTTTGTTCCCTCCTTTCGGGATCGTGATTTGCCCCAGCTCAGGGTCATTTCAGCCAAGGTTGCCCAACTTTCATATCCCCAACGAGTTTCACTTGTGTTTCTCCTTAACAAAAATCTTAGTCTGAATTAGCAATTTTGCTTTCAGAGGTGAAAAGAAGTCCTTCACAAATGGTAAGATTCTTTCTTTTTTGTTTAGGTTTGTGGCTTAATGCTTAGGTATATGAGGAACCGAAGCAACAGACTCACATACTCTGTGAAGATTTCACATGCACTTCTGTTAGAACATTGCATTCCTAAGTTTTCTAAAGAGGTGTTTTTGCCTTTTTCCTTTAATGCAGATCTGTAATGAAGCTATCACATATCATTTTTGGGTTGATCCAGGATATAGGATAAATCTTTCATGATGCTTGCTGTGACTCAGTAGAACAACTAACTATACATTAATATCAGATAACCGTGTTTCTAAAACTCTGTTGGATATATCTCTTTCTAATGAGAGAGGCTGAATGGTTTGAAGAGAAAAGTAATGAGGTCTGAAGAGGAGGTAGTGTGGCTAAGTCCAATTTAAAATTTCAAAAGCAGATCTAGCATCTTCTTTATCAGACTGACTTTGATTTGCACTGGATTTCAATTCCAATCATTCCCTTATCTCTTCTGGAGATGCAGTGTGTAATGAATGTAAAATAACTATGAAATAAAACTCTTTTTGTAATTTGGACAGTTTTTGCAATATTAAAAGGACTTCTTTACCAAAGCTTCGTATCTGTTTATTAAAATGAAAATGAATATGCTTTCCTTCAAAACTTTCTTTTTGTTATTCAATAAAAAAGGCAGAAAGCTAGGAAAAAAAAAGGGGGGGGGGGGCAGTTCAAAGCTCAGTGGTCCTACGCCTAACATGTATGATTATGATTATGTACTCTGAATTATATACTCTCTAGAACAGATGCTCTTTATCTGTGGTTTACATAGAGCCCAATATTAGATCATGTATATATGCATATAGGATTTTCAGGCATAGCAAACATGTTTCCTTATGGTCTCTGGGAGTATGTAATTCAGATTAGTACATATTGCATGTGTAACTTTTAAATGTTGGATTACATGTATCTGTTAGTTCTTGGATAGTTTATAATAGTAAACTGACTCCAAAATGTATGCACCATTGAGTAATCTGGATATGAGCATGTCTAGTTTAGAATCATGAAAATATTAATTGCACAGGGTGTATCTGTAGACTTTTGATTACACCATAAATGACCAATGTGAAAGAAAGAATCCTTATTTTCACAAGAAGTTTAAGGAATCAACGACTTTGGTGGGTGGAGCTATGGGAATTTGGGATAGAAGCTTTTGACATACATAATAAATTTCTTATACTGTCTATTTAATTCAAAGGTATTTCCAGATCCTCCATTTAACAGAATACAAAGATAAAAGGCAAGAGTGCTGGTAATCAATACAACATAATGCAAAAAAGAAGAGTTGCTATAACCATGCTTATATACATTTTGACATAAAAATGTGATTGTGATCCAGAAAGTAATCCAGGGGTTTAAAAGTGCAAGTACATGCAAGTAATGCCTTCTAATACTTTCCATTTCCAGGTTGTACCCATAGGTAATAGGAAGAATTTTTTTTTCCCCTTTGAGTTAATAACTGACCTGAATTCACATGACTTTTGTATGAATACACTTTTACTTAGTTTTCCCTTGAGAAATTCAAAGTAAAATTGGGTGTAAATACCTTAGTGTGTACAACACTCTGCCATCATTCCAGATCCGGAGCATCCTATTAGGAGTTGTTATCCAATGGGCATCAGCTTTCTTGGAATTTCGGAAGAATGTGTCTGGTATCCAGATCTTCCCAACCATGTTGCTGTTTAATCTGAGCACTTTTATAGTGCTGTTGAACTTCAGACGTCTGTCATACCACGTTTGGGCGAAAAATATATCAATTGTATATTCCTGTTGTGTTAACCAGAAATACTGATGAAAACATACCACTAGGCATTTCACACTTCTCCTGATAAGCTTTCCTTGATTTCATACTAGAAAAACACATGTGAAATATGCAAGATAGTAGAATTGATTAAAAAAACAACCTTTGGCAATTTTTGAGGGTCTTGTCTGCAATTTTTGAGGGTCTTGTTTATCAAAGATTCTTATTTAAAACCTTTTCTTTTTTATTATTTTCTTAGGTAGAGGCTGACCTAAAATGCAAGTGAATCACTGAGGTCCCTTTTTCAATCCTGTGTTGTGTGGTAAAACTATTAATATTCAGTACAGCGTTTAGCTGGCATTTTATATAGATTCATAGTTCATATAGTCCTCACTTCTATAATAATAATACAATGAGACTTTTGAAATAATGCAGATAAAGCACAACATTAATAATGAAGCTTTATAATGTACAGAAGGGATGTAGGCTTTGTCATAAAGTGATTATTGAAAATGTAGTAAAATGTGGCAATTGTTTACCTACCATATTGATAGCATTCACCGGCCCAATGCTATTTACATACATGTCAGTGTGAATCACTGTTGGTTTAACTGCAAGAGAAACAAGGGTCACTAGCATGAGTGAAGTCAAAATGAACTAGATGCAAGTCAAACATAGGCAGAAGGGTCTCTATTGTACAGCTATGTTTGCCTCACATTTACATATATATCTTCAAAAAATAATAAAACAAGCATAAATCGGTAGTGGTGTCTCCAAATTGAAATTAGATAGAGACAGTTTAGGACAAGTTCTTATATAATTTATGCTATCAGAACAAATGCACTTAGCTATGAGAACCAATGTTGAAACCAGTGTCATTACCTTAGAGTGAGTCATATCTGACTGAGAGGATCTGCACTTTGTGTCAGATCACAGCCGTGCACTTGATAAAACACTATCAACACAAGCAAACTTTTTCCTCTTGTGATGTGTTGCATCACTTATTTCATGCTGTAATGCCAAATACAACATGACTGCACTTGCCTGCAGAGATGGCTGTTGATAAGTAACAATTTCATGAGCCCAAAGCCACAACAGTGCTCAGGGCTCTAGAATAGGAATGAAGAACAGCTGTTAAATTCATTATTTTGAAATTACTCTACAGTGACTCTGTTATTCCCATGCACCTTGGCTAAAGATTTTTTTCCAGATGCTTTTTATGAATGTTTAATTTGTTTCTGTTCTCTAAAGTCTTGAAGTGGGAGAAGGAGGGAAATTTCTCTGCTAATTTAGAGTATAAGCATACACTGAAGGTTAAATACTCAGGTTCTCCCTCATGGTGGAAACATTCCCTGGTTCATAAGCCTCTGTAAACTTGTTAGTAACAGCCTCCCTTAAGCTTGCTGCTCTCTGCGCGCCTCATGCATGAGGTCGCGTTTTCCATAATACTATCCCTGCTGTATCCTCTTCTGCAGAGGTGTCCCCTGGCTGCTCTGTGCCCACCTGGGGTGTTCACAGGATGTCCAAGGGGAGACTCTTTCTTCTTTCGGGGCCCCTCGCTAACCAGTGAGGGGAAGGTTCAGAGCACCCAGACTGCCTCTGAGGCTGAGCTGGAGTCTGCCTGCTCCCCGTGGCTGCAGGGGCATCCTGGGTGGTTGGCCTTGCGGGATGAACGCTGCCGTTTGGGAACGCTTCCTGCGCTGTACCCCGTTCCCCATCACCTCTCCTGCCGTGCGCCAGGCAGCACAGACCTCCCGCTCTCTGCGGCTCCATCTATGTCCGTCCCAACGTGCAGAAATTAGGCTACGTTATCCTCGCTTTGGCCTTGCTTTCCTGGTCTATTGTTTGTCATCCTCTAACAGTATCTCTTAGCGATGGGAAGAAGAGAACAGGCTTTTCAGTTCCTCAGAAGTTAAGTCCAAACTTGGTACGCAGCTGGGTGACTGCAGGCAGGCTGAGTCAGCAAATGAGAGGGTTCTCAAGAGGAGTCTCAGGATATACCCAGAGGTCTTAATAGACGCTGCTTCTAAGAGCAGGGCTGCTTTTTGTGCCACTGGTGTTTTACTACATCGTATTTTATTTTCCTAACTACTTTGGATAGTTTCTGCTTCTTGAGTAGCATAAGACAATGTGAATGCTCTTAGTCAGCCCACCTAATGAGAAGTTAAAGTTTTCTGAAAAGAAGAGCAGCATACCTCCTATGTCAGGTCTCAGCTTGTTGTCATATCCTTCCAGCAAGCCGTTTAAAATAAGAGTGACATCACTCTCGTGGACTTTGGGAGTCAAAACCCAAGTCTTATTTGAGGTGTAATCTTCATAATCATCATCTCCTTTTTGGGTGGAGCTGTTAAATAGAAATGAGGAAAAAGAAAGTCTTGAAATATATAAATTTACAGACAACCCCTTTGGAGATTGACATTGCACACATAATCCTGGTTTTAATACTAGTGTAGAAAATATTGGAAAATGCTTACGTTATATATCAAGGATGTCACATAGCAGCTGAGGTTACAGCTCACTTTGGCAAAATTTTGTGTTAGTGCAGTTGAGATCATGTTCTGTCTGTTCAAAGGAACATCAGTGCTTATCACCTTTGGCATGTCTATTTTTTCTCTCCCTGACTCAGGTGGGACCTATTATGAAACAAATCTAATTGTCATTTGGCTTATGCAACTCTCCACCAAAATAACACTTAGTATGTGCACAGTGCTATTGCATTACTTCCCTTTGAGAGAATGATTTGATGCAACATGTTACTGACCAATAATTAGATTCATTCAAACAAACCGTCACACAGGCGCTCTCCACTCTGATGAACTTCATCTTATTGTGCATTTGGAAAGTTCAGCACATTTTTTTTTCTTTGCCAGTGGTTTTCATTTTTGCTTTTTCTAACTAGAATCTAGAGAAAATAAAAATAGTCCATCTGCTGTTTTTTTTCTGCTGCTGAGCAGTATAACACCAGATCTAGTATAATTCAACCTGCTTAGCACAGTAAAAAGGGCAGCTTCGGAATCAGAAATGTATAGATTATATTTAATGGATGTTTTGCTTTCTTTAAAATCATTGCCTCCAGTTCCAAAGGAGAATATAGAAATTAATTCAGAATATGACATCAATGGATATTTTCATTGCAGAATGTCAGTAGTAATTAAAGCTGAATGCCTAGCATGGTGCTAGGCAATTCTGAGCAAGTTTTGTGCATAATTTGCCAGTGCCCTTCTTTCCTGAGCTGCTTCTATGGCGAAGTTTGAACACTAGTGGATTTTAAAACTCTTAATGATGCTGTAAATGTGTTAAACCAGTGGATGTGGTTTGGGTATGAGTGAGTCAGAGGAAAGTGTGATTCTGCTCCCATTGCAGCCAGTCTGGGCAATGTCTTGAGTGTGCACAGGGGGCTCGGGAGGCAGCTCCTCGGGACACTTGGCCACCCTGCCCCATTCTCATTCTGCTGGCACCCCAGCCCAGCTACCCAGGCCACAATTTGCTGTTTTTTGTTTTTTTTTTTGGCTTTGTGCTACATAGTATTCTGCTGGTAATGACAAGCAGGCTGTGATAATTAAGCTGAGGGGGCTATTTGTTTTTCTGCAGCTCTCAGGGGTTTCAGAGCTTTAACTGCAGTTTACAGGAATGTAACTGAAGCCGAGTTCCCCCCTGGAGAAAAGGGAAGCTTTTGAAACAGTCTTTGCAAGCAAGAGCGTATGCTTTAACCCTGCATAAAATGAATGGAAAACCTAACTGTGCATAAAAAGACATATTTCTATCAGATAACTCATGAAACGTCTTTTCTCTCAAACAGAACTGTTCTTCTGCGAGGAGAGCAACAACTAAAACCAACACGTCCTTGCACCAAGGTAACGTGTTCCTGAATGTGAAGGGGATGAGAAAGCTTTAAAAGTCAAGGAGCTGGTTAGTAGAGCCTTGTGTGCTGGACACAATGAAATTAAAGGATGAAAAAGGATAAAATGAAAGGATGAAAAAATATCTTTTTCTAAGACTTGTCTCAAGACTAGAACCAGGAACAGCAGCATGTAAGTGCTAAAGCTCCCATTTCCCCTTGGCAAGGATTTGTTGTAAAGAAATAGCTACTTTGGTATCTATGGTCTGTTTGCCATTTCTAGCCTTTTTGGCACTCAAAATCTCAAAAGCAGCAAATGTTTTATGAGAGGTTAGTGTGGAAGAGAGAAGAGGGAACACAGTCAATGTAACCAGGGTAAAAGGCCACTGAATTCTGGCTTTTATCAGAATTCCAAGGGGATTGTAAATCAGCATGGACATCCAATTGCCTAAATGCCTGTCTGTGTGAAACTGTGCCCAAGCCAGAACAAGCAGAAGTGCATCTCTACCCAGATGAGCAGAGCTTTAGCTGTGCAAGTGCCATTATTTCTAATGAAAGCTATAATGACAAAGCCTGATTCATCTCCTTAAGACTGTCAGATTAGTCTCTCTGATAATATGGCCTACATTTTGCAAGTGCTTTTCCTGTCCAAAACAAATTTGATAAAGCCCAGATTATTCCAAAATGCATATTGAAAAGTGTTTTTATTTTTATGACTGCTAGAGGTTTCTACATCTAGTAATCAAATAGGTAAGCAAAGGAACATCCACTTAAGTTTTAGCAAATTATTATGATTTTGGAAAGTAAATTTTTTCACACCCTTGCTCTCCAAGGTATTTTCACTTCTCACACTAGCAGTATTGCAAGATGTGGGCCAGGCTGTTCTACACAGACCCATTTTCTTCATTTGAAAAAGAGGGGACTTAAGGCAGTCAGAACAGGAATTTGAGAACTGGAATCATAGAGTAATTCAAGTTACAGGAGGCTTTTGGAGATCATCTGGTCTAACCCCTGCTCAGTTCTGCCTGCTGAGCCTGTATGAGCTTCATATGATTATAATTGCTTGCATATATAGCCATGATTGTGCCTGAAATTAAGGGGGAGCTTTTGCATGCATCAAATTACTTGGAATACATTTTTACAAAAGAGTTATAAGGAAGAAATTGCTAAATGTTAATAAGCATTTATTAATTTAGATCAGAGGGTACATTAATTTAGACCACAGGAAGCTTTATGTGGGGATGACCGCACAAGATGGAGCCTCTTTTCTTTTTAATTCACTTTTTGATAGAATGTGTAAGCTTCTAGGAACTGGTAACTCACTCCACAATTACATACAAAATGTACAGACCATTTACTTTCTGTGACTGGGGATTTTACCAAGGAAAAGGTTAAGAATAGTTCTAACTTAGGTTTCTTAGCTTTGTCACTATAATGAATCTAAATTCTGAATTAGAGTTTTTACTTGATTTATAACATTTATATAGCTCTTTTGAGTGCTCATTGGTGAGTTTTAACCTAAGCACAGCCAGATCACCCTAGTGAAGTGTTCAGGGTGGGATTCTCCATCTCCTTGCTCGTGTATTCCCTGTGCACGTTGCTCGCGCTACTGTCTGGGCAGCTCTTAACCACCCCTCTTCAGGGTACCGTCCACAGGCAGAGCTACCTGTTGGTGGGAGAACTGGTTTCTCCTAGCAAGGGACGAAGAACTACTAGAGAGATGACTCATTTTATTGGCACCACCTCTTTTACAAAACCCTTAATGCTAAATGTGTTATTACTATACTGGAGATGTGTTGAAACAGTATACCAGTCAGTCCCAGAGGATGTTTGTGCTGAGAAATCACTAAGGTCTTAGGAAAAGGTTCTTTTCTGAGCTTACCCAGAAGATGTGGCAAAACCTGTTATCCAAAGATTTTGGTAACGCACTAATATATTGCCCTCTAAACAGTTGGAAAACATGGGTGTCCACATTATAGCTTGGGAATTCACTCCTATTCTTACTGGATTCAATCTGGATTTTGTTGTGGTTTTTATTTTTTACTTTAACTTCCTTGGAATTAATTTTGAGACCTACATAAAATCTTCATTTTGTCAAAATCCAGAGAATAACTATATTAACGTTATTTCGCTGAATATTCATTATCTTTTGCCGTAAATTCTGTGGTTCGAAATTTATAATAAGGACAGCTTATCTATTACAAAAAATACCATGTTTTTGTTAGTTGCTTCTATAAAGCCACTGCTATAACTTTTTATGGTCTCTATAATTTATCTACTTCCTTGGTAACTTGGGCTAGATCAGTTTACTGTTCCAAAACTTCTGTAGACCAGAGAAACCCTCATGTAATTTCCAGAAGAATCTTATGTAGTATTTCTTGGAAATATACTACCATATGTCAGTCAAGATTCACTACAGATTATTTAAAAATACATCATCAGCAATAATTTTGCAGTCTAAACCTGGGGACAGATTGTGAGCATCTAATTTCATTAGTCAGGGATATCTCTCTGAAATAAGGTAAATATTTCCTGATCCAAAAGAGTATTTTCTAAATATAGGAAGCAAACTTTAATCATTTCCAAGTGTTCCATTAAGAAACTTCACAAAAGAGTCAGTTATCCCTGTGGGATTCTGCCTGCTGCTGCATTGCTGTTTGCAACCAGAATGAGAATGACCACAGAGTGTCTAAAAAAGACCTCTAGTAGTACTGGGAGAGCAACCAGCTAATTAATTCAACTCCAGCTAAAAGCTTCAGTTTATTTGACAAAAAATAATGACCAATTTTATTTTTGATAGCAAATAGGCCATAGAAACTACAGAGCCTGCAGCAAAGACTTAATAAACTACTTGCACATGTAATAAATCTTCTACTTAAAACAGTGATATTTTCTACCTCTCAGTGAAGGACTGAAACAAAGCCTGCTGTCTTACTTAACAGCACTGTTTAACTTAATGAATAGTCAACTTAATTCATTCTCTGATGTGCATAAAAAATTACCCCAATCTGTATATCATACATAATTCATGATGAGAATACAGTCATGTGGAGGGAAGGACATATTCCAAGTTCCCACTGCAGATAGAGGGATGTTGTATGCAGATGAGATGCACGAGTGTGTACAGAATAGAGTATTTGCAGGAGATCACAGTGTCTGCAGAAATGGAACCATATCTATATGATCCTTTGTTGACAGGTGATCACATTTCAAGCGAAACTGTGGTAAGATAGGAAATGTTTACACAAAGCCATGGGCCCAATTCTCTCTCCCTGTTCACTTTTTGGTTCTATTGTCTATATGTATTGCTTAACCCTGAAGCTGGGGCTCCAGCCTAGCCTAAAGATAGGATGTCTCCTATCTTTACCTTAAAAACAGTGCATATTTTCTTTTCTACTACTGTATGCCCATTAGAATACCGACCTTCATTTTTCTCTGAATTGTAAATCACGTTATGCAAAGATTATTCTCCCCCCAAATAATTTATTTGCTATTACCTACATCAG